TGTAAATGTTCATTAAAATTATTAAAAAAATAATAAATAATAAAAAAAAGAAATGGTAGTTCCAAGTTTCACCTCTTCAGAATGTTTTTCTAATAAAGTCATCACTATGTGCCAGAAGGAATCTTTGTTATAAAGCGATTAGTTGCATGCCTGTTAACCTTAGAGTCAGTGATTTGAATCCACTAGTTGTTCAGAGGAGAAAGATGCAGCAGTTTGCTTTAAGATTACACCACTGCTGTTGAGGTTATTTTAAGTCATAATAAATCCTGAATCAGGTTTGTGAGGATTTAAATCTGTATGGCTGGAACTTGCCTGTTTCTCTCTTTCAGAGCAGCTGGTGCATTAAAACCACTAGCCTTTTAGTTAGCAGTTGAATATACTATAAACTATGCCACAGTCATGGAAATCCTGTGGGGCCATTCTGCTCTGTAGAACTGTGACTAGGAATCCACTCAAGGTCAATGGGTTTGGTATGGTATTTGTTTTGTGCTGAGAGGTTTAAATGGCTTGGAAATGGACTTATTACAATCCTATGTATTTTCAGTGGTTTTTCATGTAACATTTTTAGCAATCAGTAATAATAAAGACAGACTGACATCATTGCTCTTCAGTATTATGGAGAGGTCCTTGACAGCTGACTTTTCCAATGTAATTCATCTTTTGATTTCCTGACTGCTGGTGTCAAGAGTCTCTTCTCCATCTGTCATGGGGTTGTCAATTGGTCCAGTGGTGATAGATAGAGAAAATATTGAGATTGTCAATGATTTAATTTTACTTGACTGCACCATCAACACCCAAATTAGCTAGCAACCAAGAAATCAAAAGATGTGTTACACTGGGGAAATAGGCTATCAAGGACCTCTCCAAAGTGATTAAAAGTAAGGATGTCAGTTTAAAGACTAAAATGTGCATAACCAAAGTCATACTATTTCCAATTGTTTCTCTGCATCTGAAAGGTGGGCAATTGGTAAGGAAGACCAAAGAAGGGTTGATGTCTTTGAATTGTGGTATTGTAGGAGACTATTAAGTAATCCTGGACTGCCACAAGAACAAACAAGTCTGTCTTGAAAGAAATGGACTCAGAATGCAAGTATGGTGAAAGGTCTTCTCATTTACTTTGGCCATATTTTCAGGAGGAACCTCTCTTTAGAGAAAGACATCATGTTAGGAAGGGGAGAGGGTTCATCCAAAGAGAGAAAGACACTCCACAAGATGGACTGACACAGAGACTACTGCAATGGACTTGAACATGACAGAAATCGTAAGGATGATGTTGCAAGATAGGGCAGGGTTCAGACCTGTTGTTAATAGGGTCACTATGAGTCATGATTAACTTGAAGGCACATTAATAACAACAGTTTTCATAAAAAATACTATTTTTTTCCAATTCTGAACAAAGATATGGCTGGATGGAAACTGAAAGAGTTTCTTCTAATATTGGTGTGTATTCTGCATCCATGATAATGTAAACTGGCAGAATTACGGGAATTATTACAGAGGTATATACAACATCCACTTCCAAAATAGCTTGCCTCCAGAAACTCTATGAACTTGGTGAAATGATGAAAGCTATACAAGTGTTCAGGTCTTTTGCTC